GAATCACTTAAGCCCAAGAGCTGGAGGTTGCCATGAGCTGTGATGCCATGGCACTCTACCAAGGGCAATGGAGTAAGACTCTGTCTCTAAAAAAAAAAAATAAATAAAAGATTATTAAATTCATAGGCATTTTAAATTTAAAAAAGGAAAACAGTTTATTCTCTAGCTTCAATGCTAAAGAATAGCTATGATGTTTGCCAAGCCTGGAACTGCAGTTTTGAATAGGCACAGTGATTCAAATGTTTAATGGTCTTGTGGAGTCTTTAGTAACCCGTTTGTGCCAAAACTGATTGGAGGGGAGGGAAATCCAGCCAGATTTATTTATTTTATAGACCCCCATCTTTTGCCCTGGAGTTTAAATAGAAAGCATTTCCCCCAGGCAGTGCCTGTAGGTCAGTGAGTAGGGTGCCAGCCCCATATACTGAGGGTGGTGGGTTTGAACCCAGCCCCAGCCAAACTGCAACAAAAAATAGCCAGGTGGTGTGGTGGGTGCCTGTAGTCCCAGCTACTTGGGAGGCTGAGGCAAGAGAATTGCCTAAGCCCAAAGAGCTGGAGGTTGCTGTGAGCTCTGATGCCACAGCACTCTACCAAGGGCAACAAAATGAGACTGTCAAAAAAAAGAGAGAGAAAGGAAAAAAGAAAGCATTTCCCAGTGGGGACAATTAAACCAGAAAAAGTGATTAATCATTAACACATTAAATATATATGCCTGGAGTAGCACCTGTGGTTCAGTGAGAAGGGCACCAGCCCTATTTACCGAGGGTGTCGGGTTCAAACCGGACCCCACCCAAACTACAACAAAAAAAATAGCCAGGCGTGGGGTAGCACCTGTGGCTCAGTGTGCAGGGTGCTGGGCCCATATACCGAGGGTAGCAGGTTCAAACCTGGCCCCAGCCAAACTGCAAGAAAAAAATAGCTGGGTGTTGTGGCAGGCCTGTAGTCCCAGCTGCTTGGAAGGCTGAGGCAAGGGAATCACCTGAGCCCTGGAATTGGAGTTTGCTGTGAGCGGTGTGACGCCATGGCAGTCTGCCGTGGGCAATAAAGTAAAACTCTGTCTCTACGAAAAAAAAAAAATAGTCAGGCGTTGTGGTGGACACCTGTAGTCCCAGCTACTCAGGAGGCTGAGGCAAGACAATCACCTAAGCCTAAGAGCTGGAGGTTGCCGCGAGCTGTCACGGCACTCTACCAAGGGTGACATGCTTTTTAAAGTTATTTTATTTTTATTTATTTATTTTTGAGGCAGAGTCTCACTATGTCACCCTGGGTAGAGTACTGTAGCATAACAGCTCACAACAACCTCAAACTCTCAGGCTTAAGTGATTCTCTTGCCTCAGCCTCCCAAGTAGCTAGAATTACAGGCGTCTGTCACAACGCCCAGCTATTTTTTAGTTATAGTTGTTGTTTGGCAGGCCTGGGCCAGGTTTGAACCTGCCAGCCCTGGTGTATGTGGCTGGTGCTCTAACCACTGAGTTACAGGCACCAAACCAAAAATTAACTTTTTCGAAAGGAAAGGGTAAGGTTTTTTTTGTTCTATTGTCCTAGACCCATGATTTATTTTTACTTTATTACCTTTTTTAATTTAATTTTTTTTACTTTTTTAAACTTTAAGATGAAATTTTAACACAGTAGTGTTCAGCATCCAACACTGCCTATGGTAAAATGCCTATGCTCCTTATCCATATTGCCAGTTTTTCTTATAAGCTTGGCCTGCTCAGAAGAATGGGCGAGGGAGGCTGTGTCCAGGGTCCCAGCAACCATTGCTGCTAAGCAGAAAGAAAAGTGAGGTTGAAAGCTACTGGCCTCCTCCCCTGAGGTAAGATGCAATATAGTTTAGCTCTTCACCTGGAGTTTGGTGAGTCAGCTGAGTGTTTTAATGAGGCATCTGGTGAATAAGCAGAACCAGGCTGGCATCAATCTCCTTTTGCAGCTGAGCTCTCCTGGGCCTAAGTCAGGACCAAGTAGTAGCCATCTGGATTCTGCACTGAAAGCAATAAAAAGGGCACCACTGGGATGAGGCATGCTCCCAACCTCTAAGCAACCTATGATGCATCTGTCACACCCAAGTGTTCTTCTAACCCTACTTCAAATCCACCTCTTCCTAGCCTCCTTGTGTACTATATGCCAGGCTGACCAGCTCTAGCATAGTGGAGGGATGGGAAGGCAAGCATCTAAATAAGCTGACTGTGCAGAGGTGCTGTATACAAGGTGATACCCAGGAAGCACCTGCCCCCTCTGCCTTGTGTGATTGTTCAGTGGGTGGGGGAGAAGAATGAAGGCCTTACCTTCCCTTGTAATAAACTTCCTGACAAAGGAAACTGGAGTATTTTTTCCTTCATGGAATACATTTATTCAATCACACTTTTCCTAAGCAATAAGTAACTTTTAGCTATGTTAATTCCTCTCCCTTTGAAACAAAGCTGGCATTCTGCAGCTCTTTACCAGTGGTTCAAGACACAGCTACTCCGGCACACAGACCTTCAAAGAATCATTTATTCTCATTCAGGAGACAGAACATACTCTAAATGGTCTTATTGTTTCTAGGGCCAGGCAGACCTAGTACTCTCACTCCAAAATCCCTACCTTTTTTCACCACAGTCACAAAGTATGATTCATCCTTAAGATTCCGGACCACCTGTAAGGGAGAAGTGGTCATGAAGACAATTCCGTTCTTAGAGCCAAACACAATAAGCCATGACATGGAAGAGTTAACTTGGATCAGAAAAGAAAGCTGGGCTCGGCGCCTATAGCTCAACCGGCTAAGGCGCCAGCCACGTACACCTAAGGTGGCGGGTTCGAATCCCCAGCCCGGACCCGCCAAA